AAGTCAGTACTTTATCACTTGCTTTTAAAGCTTAATATAGGCTACCATTCTTAATTTACTGCACCTGGAAAATCCTGCTCATTTTGTCAATTGACATGTCGTCCTCCCTCACTGTAACTCTTTTGCTGTATCTGAAAACCACGTAGTGATCCATAATGTTACGGAGTGCCATCAATCGTTTAGCGCGTGTTCGCTGTACAGTACATCCGGGTCTTACATGCTATAACATTAAATAATAAATAATAAAATAGCAAGAAATCATAAATGAGGCATGTTTCGAATACTTGACATTTTGCAGATGTTCAAACCTTTATTTCATAATTTAATTTTCATATTTAAAACGAAAAACGAATAAAGCATCGTAATTTAAATTTTGTTTTTCAATTTAAAATCAAAAATTGAATGAACGCAACGTACACGGACCGTACACGGACCTGGTCAGTGTATCTTTTGGTCATTGGATTTTCATTTTAGAAAAAGATATTGAAAAACGAGCCTTTTTTTTTTTTTTTGATTTTCGTTTTAAAATTTAAAAAACAAAAATTAAAAAACGGCTCATTTTTCTTTTTGATAGTGAAAAACGAAAAACCAAATTTCAAAAATTATTTGATTTTCATTTTTTATATTGAGCAACAAAAAAATAAAATCTCCAGAAAACAAAAACGAATAAAGACTTGTTTTTTAATATATACACTGAACATATCTCATGACTTTAAGGATTTTAGTAAAGCACGGCTAATCATACAGAAACAGCTCACAGGTAGAGAAAGATACAGTATGAGCCTACAGTACAACTAAAACTAAAGCTGTACCATCAGTGTTTATCCACAAAGAGTCTGAATGCTGTCTGTTGATTGACATGTGTTGTGCTTTTTTATTTTGTTGTGTTTAAGTTTCCATATACCGCTAGAACTTCAGATGATTTTCACCATATTTTGATGTTCATGTTAATTTCTAAATAATTTCTGATACAACTATATGATATTATTATATGTCTGAATAATGAAAGTCTATGCCAGGGTACTGGAGAGGAGGATCTGGCTGATGGTTGAACCTAGGATCCAGGAGGAACAATGCGGTTTTCGTCCAGACCATGGTTCACTAGACCAGCTCTATACCCTCACCCGAGTGCTCGAGGTTTCATGGGAGTATGCCCAACTAGTCCACATGTGTTTTGTGGACTTGGAGACGGCATTTGACTGTGTCCTTCGTGGCACTCTGTTGAGGGTGCTGTTGGTGTATGGGGTCAGAAGTGCTCTGTTAAGGGCTGTTTTGTCCCTGTATGAACATAGTAGGAGTTTGGTTCGCATTGCCGACAAAAAGTCAGACTTGTTTGGGCAGGGCTGCCCCTTGTCACCAACTCTGTTCATCATTTTTATGGACAGAATTGAATAGTGCAGACTTAAGCTGAAGGGTGTCTTGTTCGGGGACCACAGGATTTCATCTCTGTTATTCACAGGCAATGTTGTTCTGTTGGCTTTCTTTAAACATGGACCTTCAGCATGCACTGGGGCAGTTTGCTGCCGACTGTGATGCGGTTGGGATGAGAATCTGCACCTCCAAGTCCGAGGCCGAAAAAAGGTGCTTTGCCATCTCCAGGTTGAAGGAAAGTCCTTACCCCAAATGGAGAAGTTCCAAGTATCTTGGGGTTTTGTTCATGAGTGAGGGAAGGATAAAGCATGAGATTGACAGGCAGATTAGTGCAGCGGCAGCAGTAATCAGGTCAATGTACTGGTCCATTGTCGTAAAGAAAGGAGCTGAGCTGAAAGGCAAAGCTCTTGATTTACTGGTTAGTCTACTTTCCTACTCTCACCTATGGTCATGAGCTTTGGGTCATGACCAAAAGGACAAGATCTCAGATACAAGCGGCTGAAATGAGTTTCCTTCGCAGGGTGGCAGGGCACACCCTTATTGACAGAGTGAGAAGCTCTGTCACCCGAGAGGAGCTCGGAGTAGAGCCGCTGCTACTTTATATCGAGAGAAGTCAGCTGAGGTGGCTCAGGCATCTGTTTCGGATGCCTACCTAGGGAGGTGTTCCAGGTATGTTGCACCCGGAGTAGGCCTCAGGGAAGACCCAGGACATGCTGGAGGGACTATGTCTCTCGGCTGACCTGGGAACGCCTCGGGATCACCCTGGAAGAGCTGGAGGAAGTGTCTGGGGAGAGGGAAGTCTGGGGTTCTCTCCTAAGGCTGATGCTCCTGTTACTCAGCCCTAGAAAAGCGGTTGAAAATGAATGAAGGAATGAACAGAGTCTCTACTTTTGAATACAAAAAGTATTTTATTTTGTCTTCATGTGCTTTATCGATGTGTTTTATCATCACTTAATTGCAGAAAGGTTTAATCAAAAATAAATTTTTAACCCCTTTCACAAAAAAAAGTTCAAATGAAGACAGTCATGCTTGTCTTTGATACACAACATTATTAACAGTCTTATCTGAATTGTTTTTAAAACAACTTTTGTAGCTATTTGTTTATGATCATACAATGTAAATTTTTATTTTGCAATTAACCATCAATCGAACTTAAAATAATCAATTGACAATTGACAAAAATGCTGTTTCCCTAATAGCAGTTAGACTTCAGAATGAAAATAATCTCTCTCTCTCTCTCTCTCTCTCTCTCTCTCTCTCAATCAACTCTTTATATCCGAACAAACTAATCGTCCAGCGAACATTCAAACGGACAGTTGACTTTAATTATGGCTATTGCTATCAAAATAAAAACACATTTATGTTTAAGCAGGGTAGCAAGATCAAAGTTTAAGACATTAAATTCATAAATATGCACAGGCACCTTTCTTTATACAAAAGTAAACTTTAGTGACTAATCTAACAGAAACTAACACCTAACACACATTCATACAAGTGTAAAGAAGGTAAAGTAAGAGGTTGAGAGAATGTAATGTGGAAAAAACACAGATTTTGTAAGAGCAAACCAAAAATAATCAATTTAACCCTTTTATGGTCTCTTTAGGGTTGCACTTAGTTGACACTAGTTCAGATGAGAGTGTTACTTGCGTTCCTTGTGTGATGTGAAGAACTCCCTCTGTTGAGCATGTGGCTAGCTGGTTGTTCTTTGTCTTTGCGAGGCTTGGAGTGGGGTGGAGTCGGTCATTTCAAGTTTTGAAAGCAGCAAAAAGGCTAGTTGTGTTTGACTACTGGTTTTCTGGCACACTGAACTTAACTAGACTCTCGGCGGAAAAGAAAGAAAGAAATGTATCAGAGATGGGAATGTCTGAGCAATTAACCCATTTTGTCTTTCTCTGGTCTGGGCCTTCATCTTTGGCCTGGGGTTTTCCCTGGCCTGATGTTTCTGGGCAGTGGCCTAAAGTACAAGCTTTTAGAAGGATGGTTTGTACCCACCATCCAGGACCAAGTTGACCAGTTCAAAGTTAAACTTCCCTGAGGCATGTTTTATAGGCCTTTGTTCAGAAGTGTAGGTATTTGCATAGGAATTTTGATACTAACTGAGGCAGAAATGTTCACGTTTCTTAAAATGTTAATATGTTGCACACATATTAAGATGAAATGTAAACCATTGTTCAGTACACCGAATTAGCTTTGCAGGGACATCAAACATGAACTGTGTATGAGATTGTTTAGCTGCGGTAAAGTTAAACATCGATTGCAGAAGTATTAAAACCATAATATTAATGCAGAAGCAAGAGAAATGTTGCAAAACACCTGATTATACATAAAGAAAGAGTAAAAGTTTACATTACAACATTAGGGCGTACTTACACTATGCCATCCGTACCGTGCCCAGGCCTGTTTCCCGGATCGTTTGAGAAGTGTGAGTGCGGTGAATCGGGCTCAAGCACGGTTAACTTGGCCGGCCCTTCAGCAAACCTCCTCATTCCTGCAGCACGATGGCTTAATGATTGTCTATGAGCGCCAAAAGTGGCGGATCTGTTCGGCGAAATATCTGACTGCGTGTCACCACATCCCTAAGGACTGTTTGGCAGAATATTTGACAGCATGTCACTGCATAACAAATGACTGAAACGATATAACAAGAGCAATCTCAGCTGTGCTGAGCGAGAGCGCTCATTGAACAGCGCAGCAGCGATGACGTAAGCTCGCCCAGGCCCGATTAGTGTGAGTGCGGGCCGTCGGGGGAGACAGGAGAGGGGACAAGCGTGCTTTGGCCCGGTTCGAGGCAACTGTACATAGTGTGAGTACGGCCTCAGTCTTAAGCCCAGAGCTTATAGAAGTTTTGACCGTGTCTCTGTCCAATGCTGTGAGCACATTCCTTTGTGTCGTAAATACCTTGGAATCAGATTACAACTGACCATCCAGTCTTTTCCTGGGCAGAAGTTGCCAGTGTATTTGTTGAATAAAAGCAGAATAATTATGTGTCTGATTAGCCATACTTGTTACATACATACATGTGTGTGTGTGTGTGTGTGTGTATGTATGTGTATATATATATATATATATATATATATATATATATATATATATATATATATATATATATATTCTCTATTTTTTTTTTATTAGTTATCAAAATATAAATAGAATCACATTATATTATAAGTTGATTAAGCAAAATTTTAATGATTTTGGAAATGCTTTGTTTCTTCTTGAAATGTTTTTCCCTCAGAAGTGGTGACTACAAACTACTTTCATCTCGAAAGACATTTAAATTTATATTTTTACATAGATCTGTCACCTCACAGCAAGAAAGGTCACTGTTTTGAGTCCCAACTGGGCAGTTAGCATTTCTGTGTGGAGTTTGCATGTTCTCCCTGTGTTGGTGTTGGTTTCCTCCAGGTTCTCCGGTTTCCCCAACAAGTCCAAATTATGTGCAAAGGTAAATTGGATGAACTTAATTGGCTGTAGCTTGTGAGTGTGTGTTTAAATGTGAGAGTGTAGGATGTTACCCAGTATGATGCTGGGTTGTAGCTGGAAGGGCATTTACTGTGTAAAACACATGCCAGAGTAGTTGGCCGTTCATTCCGCTGTGGCAACCCCTAATAAATCAGGGACTAAGCCAAAAGATAGTGAGGGAGTGAAAGTACACATTTTAATAGTTCTTGCTTTCCGGGACAACAAACCCACAATATTGACATTGCTAGTATTATGCAGTACATCTGATCTACGGGAAGCTAAAAGCCCAAGATACATGGTAAACCTTTACTGAAAGGACAGGCGACTCCTGCTCATCATCATCATCAGCTCATCATCATCATCATACGAGTTTGGTATTTTTGGTTGTAGTTCTTGCAGCTCTTCTCTTAATTCATCAAGAATGTTTCTCAGCTCTTTCTCAGTCTCCCTTATTGTTTTTACAAATTTCATGATCTCAGTCCGCAGCTCTTGCTCTTTTTTCTTTGTGTTTGTCAGATTCTTTGCCTTGCTCTGTTCAGACGTGTCATCAGTTGTCTCTGGGTTTTGACCTCTATTTGATGCTGCATTTTCTGGTTCTTGTTGAGCCTCACTTGAAGCTGTATCTTGGCGGAGGTCGTGAATTTCTTTGGCATCGAGAGCAATAAAGAAGACGTCAACAGCTATGAACAGTCCAGATAAAACTCCAGTAGCCACTTCAGCTACACGAGCAACTCTTGCAGTCTGAGCTGCAACTTTCCCAACTGATGCGACTTCAACTAAACGGGCAAGCTCTGAGATTCCTGCCAGTCCTCGTCCAAGTCGAGCTCCACTTGCCAAAGTCTGTTTATCACTGTTTTCCCCAGACTGTGCATTTGACTGTGGTTGATCGCTTTCAGGAAACTCTTTTAGTTTGGTGCCAACTGCTATCTGGATGTTTTGGATGCAGCAGCTTGTGGATGTAATTTTTTCTTGTATCATTGTTATAAGCATTTTGACATTTTGCCGGTTTGAACGCTGATTAACTATCTTTGTCACATTGCTCACTCCAGCTGTTACTCCACCTGCAGTTGCTACGCCGACTCCCACTCCTGTCACTATCAGAGATGCTCCGAGTGTGAATGGAGTCAAAATAAGTCCCACCACAGATAAGATTCCTCCAACCAGTCCTATCACTCCTCCTGCAAGACTGCCGACTGTTGTGTTGAAGTGGATCTTTTCTAAGTCATTAGCCAGTGTTCTCAGCTCATCTAGACTCTTATTAAGCTCTTCTATAGTTTGTTTGCTCTGAAAAAAAAAATAAAAACATCAAATTAACATGCATTTGGTAAAATCAGTGTCTAGTGTCTAAAACGTATGCTCTTGTTTAAAAACAATAATAATGAATTTAATAATAATAATTTTGTACTCATTCATTTATTCATTCATTAATTTCCTTTTCGGCCCAGTCCCTTTATTAATCTGGGGTTGCCACAGCGGAATGAACCGCCAACTTATCCAGCATATGTTTTACGCAGCAGATGTCCTTTCAGCTGCAACCCATCACTGGGAAACATCCATACACACTTATTCACACACACATACACACACTATGGTCAATTTTAATATACCCAATTCACCTGTACCACGTCTTTGGGCTTGAACCAGCAACCTTCTTTTCTGTGAGACGAAAGTGCTACCCACTGCGCCACCACATCACCATAATTTTGTACTTTATAATCTAAATCAGCGCTCTGCACATTTCATGATTCTTTTACTGCTAAACAGTTTTTTTTTTTTCATTCAACTGTATCACCGCCGGTCCTACACCACCCAACCCGCTCTGAGCTGGAATCGAACCAGCGACCTTCCGTATGGGAGTCGGTTGCTCTGCCAAGGAGGATAAAGACCATAGCCTCTAGTGTCTGTTGCTAGAGGAGATCAGAGGAGTGAGGTTTACCTGCACAGCACTTACTAGCTGGCCTGTGTTACACTCACCCCCTCTAAACCTCACTCCCATCTGGGTCACGGCACCAATGTAACCCCGCCGGTCCTACACCACCCAACCCGACTCCCTTGCGGAAGGTCGCCGGTTCGATACCAGCTTGGAGCAGCTTGGGTGGCGTAGGACCGGTGGGGTTACACAACCATAAATGTCCAAAGTCATCATCATTACAGGTTATTCTGCCATGATTCAGTTTGAAAGAAACATAATCAATTCAAAGTGGTAAAGATGTGACTATGCACAGCTCATGATTATGTTTACATAACTGTTCACACTTCTGCTTCCTCTGAGGACACTGTAAACTGTGTGTTTTTTTGTAATGAAGTATCCTACAAGTTCAATCAATGTACACAGGCCAGCAGTTAGTGAGCAGAGTAGGCAACACCATGTAGGGAACATAATCAAGGTTCCTTCTTGTAGCTCTCCTGCTATCTAAATTAGGTGTGTTAAACAAGCGAGATATGCAGAATATGCAGAGCGGTGGGTTGTGAATACTAGGATTGAGAACCACTGATCTAAACATTAGTAATCAGATTTACCATTTTGTTAAGGTGTTTGATGATAAAAGGCCTCTTTAGGATCTCACTGACAGACGGACGGTCCGCTGGCTTAACATGAAGGGTGTCTTTTATCAGCTCATGCAGATCCTCAGAGAAGTTCTCAGGAAGATGTTCATAGGAGCTTTTGCGTATCTTTTTAACAATCTCAGCTGAGTTTCTTGATGAAAACTAGAATGAATGAAAATACGCAGTTTGTAGGACTTTAAAAAAATGACTTGTGAATTCATGCAAAGCAAACAAACAACCACTGATCTCACTATGAGTTAAAACAAACAACTCGGTATTAATTGCTGGTCAGCCTTGTCTCCCGTCCAAAGCATGTAGGTTGTCTGCATCCCTCGGGGTCAGAACCTACACTGCTGCGGGCCAGGCTGCTTCCGTCTTGCATGCTATGGCGACGTACCAGTGCTACCATCAGGTGCATGTGTTGGCCCAGCTGCACGAGGGGATTGCTCCTCACCAAGGATGCCTGTCAGCAACTCCAAGACCTGCTCTGCCCCCCAGCCCGCTCCACAAGCTAAGTGGCAGCATCGAGAACCTCGCAGACGACCAGCGACCCTTCCCCAGGGTGTTTCTAAGTCCGGTAAATGGACCACAAATCGTTGCTGAGACGGGCAACTTTCAGCGATTGTCCCGAATGATGCCACTCACAGTCAGACTTGTCTATGAGATTCAGTTCACTAAACGGACCCTCAAGTTCACAGGTTTCTATCTATCAGTTTCAACCCTGTGTCCGCCCCTGTCTTGCGCAAGGAGATTGCTGTCCTCCTGGCGAAGGATGCAATCGAGCCGTTACATGAACTTGAATTACATGAGGGCATGCCTCTCCTGAGAGCGTGAAGAGCTGATGCTAACCTGTCTAAAATAGTTTGACAGGAAAACTGTAGTCCCACTGAAATTATTCCAGAGTCTCCTGGGGCATATGGTATCCGTAGCTGCGATCACGGCACTCAGATTGCTCCATATGAGACAGCTTCAGGATTGGCTTTATGTTCGGGTCCCCAGATGCACATGGCACGCAGGCACACACTGGGTGGAAAACAGCATGGCGATGGGGGTGTATTTCACCCGCATGCATCGCTGCATGTTTCAGCTCGCTCGCCGTCTGGTTCTCTGTAGTCATACGCGGCAGAAATTGATGCGTGTCATACAACATACCCGTAAGTTCAATCATGAAGTCTATTTGCTCTCATGGCAGCTTAGACAGCTGGGAGAATAAAGGCTCCACCCTGGTTCTGTTTAGTTGATATAAACGCACTTCTGAGAAGTCAAGGTCAACCTGTTTGCATCTTTCAAGTCCACCCATTGCCAGTGGTTTTACTCCTCCTCTGCACCGATGCACTGGCCCATACCTGGCCCCAGGGTATGCTCAAATGCGTATTTTCCTCAGTGAGCCTACTCGCACAGACACTGTGCAAGGTTAGAAAGGACGAGGAGCAGGTCTTGTTATTTGTACCTCTCTGGCCCAACTGGACCTGGATATCAGAACTCTCTCTCCTTGCGACTGCCCCTCCCTGGCAGATCCTTTTGAGGAAGAACCTTCTCTCTCAGGGATAGGGCGCCATTTGACTCCTGCACCCAGATCACGTGTGGTCTATAGATGGAGCACGGATTTGCAGAGAGATTTGTTCAAATCACTTGACTCAGTATCCTTGAGATTTCTGTCCCTGAAGACAGCTCTGTTGGTTACGTTGGCATCATTCAAGAGGGTCTGGCACCTGGAGTCATTTTCGGCCAGTGATTTGTGCCTACAGTTTAAGCAAGCGTACTCTTACGTTATTCTGAGACCCTGGCCTGGATATGTGCACAAGGTTCCCGTCACACCCTTTAGAGACCAGATAGTGAACCTGCAAGTGCTGCCCATGAAGGAGGCAGACCCAGCCCTATCTTTGTGGTGTCCTTTTCGCGCTCTGCAATTTTTATGTGGACCGCACTCAAAATCTTAGATCTTCTGAGCAGCTTTTTCTCAGTTATGGTGGTTGAAGAAGAGAAGAGAAGTGGAATATCCAAATGGAGTTTGACCCAGTGGATAGTGGATGCCATCATTCTTGCTTATCAGTGCCAGTGTGAGCTGCATCCCCCGGGGGTGACAGTGCACTTCACTATGAGTGTCACCTCCTATTGGGCATTAGCATGCAGCACCTTTCTAACAGACGTCTGTAGAGCTTTGGGCTGGGTGACACCTAACACATTTGGGAGATTTTATGATCTTTGAGTGGCGCCAGTTTCCTCAGGTGTGCTGAATAACCCCAGTGAATGAGGAAACTCAGTTTGGGGTTAAAAAATACTTGCTGTGCCTTTCTCTCTAACACAGAGATACATGCTGTTTTCTTACTTTGCTCAGCTGAGTTCCCCAATTTGGTGAACTCTACAGCATTTCCTCGAGGCACTGAGGCCCCAGCACCTGACTCAGTGGTGACGTGATCCCATATCTTTCACTCAGCCACGGTGTAGTCCCCTCTTCTCAGGCGGGCCCGTGTCTTCTTTCCCCGCAAACCATCTCTCATATTTGTACTCCCCCTTGCCAGGGATAGGCCCATATGTCTTCTGCCACCAGGTCTCCCCATCTGGGTAGCAAGTGGCCTCCGCAGCGTCCTGCCTCTTCGGGATAGGCATGCTTTGCCAACATGTTGTATACCATTAATTGGTTTGTATGTCAGATTTATAGGCCCTCCAGAAACTTGCGTTCTGTGAATGAACGTGGCCTTGTGGTTCCATCCCAAAGAGGGAAGAAATCACTTTCCCGAACTCTCGCATTTAATCTGCCCAGTTGGTTTAATGAACTCCCTAACTGCATCATAACGGTAGAGTCACTCACTGTCTTTAAGAAACGACTAAAAACTCAACTATTTAGTCTCCACTTTCCTTCCTAATCTGCAATTGCCTCTCTGGGTCCACCACTAACTACTACAAAAAATAAAAAAAAACTTACATTACTAATGCTTTCCTTCTTATACTTTACACACCTGAAACTTGCCTACAGCACTTATTCATTGTTTCTCTTATAGTTTTAAATTGCTTCCTTGTCCTCATTTGTAAGTCGCTTTCGATAAAAGCATCTGCTAAATGATTAAATGTAAATGTATGTAAAGGTAAGTTAGGGCCTGGGGACACATTGGAGGGCTGCTTCTTTAGTGATGATGGTGCATTCACGCTGGAGCCTGGCAAACTTATAAAATAAAAAAGTGTCAAGGTTTAACCACTCTGTCCATACATTTCCCCATAGTGGACGTTTTCATGCTATATGTTCCTTCATCCCTGTGGTTGCACCTTAGCTGACGGCTATAGTTCGGCTCTTCAGCTTATCTGCTATAGTATCTACTAAAGCATGAAACTGGTCATTAAATATAAATAAGAAAGCATGAAATAACAAAAAATAAATAAATAAAAAATCTTACAGCCCTCTTCAGTGTGCACATCTCATTGATAACACATCCCAATCTCCAGATTTCACTGCAAAGGAAAATGAACATTTATAAAAGTTTTTTGATTGGAATAAAAAATATACATCAGTTAAACAATGAGATCTAGTCTATTACCTTTTCTTATTATAAGATTTGCCACTTAATATCTCAGGTGCAACATATGCAACAGATTCAGATTCCGCTGTTTGTACATCAGTGAACCTGATGGAAAGAAATACATGATATAGCAGGTTCATCAAGTGGAAAAGATACATTATGGTTTGAACTAAAGATAATAGGATTTCAGTACTTTTTATCAAACTCTCCCAAACGGATGGTCCCACATGCAGTGAATAATAAGCTCTGCCATAAGAAAACACACACATTTGATAAATACTGGGAATGTAGAGGATTACAAAAATTAAGTTAACATCAGTCAAAATCACTTCAATTATTATGTGACATCTAAAAGAAAGCTTCAGGAAAACGATTTTGATTATGATAGATAACTTTCATCAGCACTTGATCCCATATATATATATATATATATATATATATATATATATGTGTGTGTGTGTGTGTGTGTGTGTGTGTGTGTGTGTGTGTTTGTCAGTGCTTTCAATTGATAAAAAAAAAACTAATTAATCACATTTTTTTGTAATTATCGTGATTAATCGCATTTAAAAGACTGAAACTTGTAATTTTGGCTATTCAAATGTAAAATTATTGTAAACGCAAGAAAAAAACTATTTAAATCCATAATATAGTTATTTATTTGAATTTTTTTTTTTTTACTTTTAAACAACAAACCCACAATATATCATCAAGATCCTGGCTTGACAGCCTTATTATTACAGAAATAAAAACACAGGCATGTTAATGCCATTTGATTTTTAAAACAATCAATACCAATAAAGAAAAAAAAAAAATTCAAGTTGGATTCTAAGTGGACTGCAAAAAAAAAAAAAAAAAAAAAAAAAAAGCCAAAGTACAGGCATTATATGGAAATTGGAAAATAATAATAATAAATAATAGTAACAAAAAAGTATCGAATAAAAACAATTGTACTCATTGTAAAGTTGTATTGCTGTGAGTTGAGAACATTAATTATAAAACAGAAACAATTTTGCTTAGAGGGAACGCAAGACACAAATTGTGAGTCTGCATATAATCTCACTGAGCAAGCAGTGTACTGAGAGGACGCAAGACAATCTATGAGTGAGCAGCGCATATTTTTAGAGAGTGTGAGAAAATTTGCACGTGAGCAGCGTATATTTGAGAGCTCACAATCAGTTTTGTCCACAAACAGGAAATTGGTGCACGGGCATTATATTGAGAAAGCTGTTCATCATGCTCACTTTGTGCATGACAGTTTTGTGTTGTGAACCACTTGAATTTAAAATGATAGAAATAATGGCAACAATAAGAAAAGAAAGAAATCTGCATCTTGTCATGGCATTGGAGTTTACATATCGGCCTGTTCTGTCTAATATGGATATAGTCAAGCTATTCACAGATATTGTCAGATAATCACTTTACCTCTACCATACTTTTAACAGATCATTTGTGTATTTGACTGTCATCCTTTCTTGCATTGTTTTGAGCCTTCACATTGCCAATTATATACTATATTGTTAGTAGCCTGGACAGGTCACAGTCATTTTGCTACATCATCTCTCTTTCTGCTGGATGTGAAATGCTCAGCACTACATTTTAGAGTCATTTTATAATGTTATGTTCAAATTCTGTAGTTATTTTGCTGAAAGTAACTAAAAAAGTAATATAAGAGTCATGTAACATTACAATTCTGAGACTAAGAATAATATTGTAAGGTAAGGGATTACATTTAAATAACAGTAAAAAGTAATCTGTAATGTATTACAGTTTGGAAGTAACTTGCACAACACTGGTTAAACTGACATTAATTCAGTCTGAACAATCTGTTGTCATTTCTGATATTTGGGATTTAGATTTAATATAAATAGAGCAATGTAAACAAGCTTGGTAGATTCAATTAATGTAGTGTAAAAACATTGTGAAACATCAATGTCTGTGCATTTCCATCTTTGCTTTTTACTATCACACAAAAACACAAGGTAGGCCTACTGGGCAAAAAAAGAGGATGTCTCTCAGTTGTAATTAATTCATCCTCACTATACTCAAGTTTTTGGTCTCTTTTTGGTCTCTTGTTTATTCTCATAGCATCCATGTGGGATAAAAGAGCAACATCCTAACTTTGTTTTTCATTAAATGGAGTTGCTGTTAAATGTAGCTGTAGTAAATCAGACTCATTCAAAGCGTCGCTGCACAAACAAACGCTATGAATGCATGCTACACTTCCCACTGTACAGTGCATTTTCTTTTCCTTATGATGCACAGAGTTTTGAGGTAAGTGATGTTTTCATTTGCCATTCACTGACAGTCGAACATCCTCATCCAGTTCATCAAACTCTGTCTTTTAAAATCGAAAGCGGAATAAAACAGTCTCCTCATAAAGCCGGCGTATCAGCATGCTGCTACTTTGAAAATATGATTTGATTCTCGCTTCTGATTGGTTCTCGGGATATAGCGGCTTTTGCTGTTAAAGGCAGGTGGCGTTATTTCTGAATGTGCTGACGCTGCGATTTAGATTATTTGAAGCAAATGTATTTGTTGATGGTGTACTTTGTGCCCAAAGCATTCATTTAATGTCATTATTTCATTTTTGTCAAAAATGGTGTTTAGCAGCTTTTGCATCTGAACTCTTCATATATATATATATATATATATATATATATATATATATATATATATATATATATATATATATATATATATATATATATATATATATAATTTTTTTTTTTTTTAGATATGTTTTAATATTTTTATTTGATTGTGAAGACGGATTTATCATTACAATTTCACTTTTAGAATTAGTTTTGAAAGGCAAGAAGCATGAACTGAGTTTATTTTGTACTTTGGGCTGCAGGTCTTTATGTAGAATCTGTTGATCATGCAGGTATTTTAAAGCCATACAGATCTGCACAGTCCAGTCCAAAATCTGAAAACAGATGAAATGTGAATTTAGTTACAGTAGAAAACTCTGACATGCAACTTCAGCATCAGGAAACATACAGATAAAGTATCTGTCTATCTATCTATCTATCTATCTATCTATCTATCTATCTATCTATCTATCTATCTATCTATCTATCTATCTATCTATCTATCTATCTGTCTGTCTTTCTGTCTGTCTGTCTGTCTGTCTGTCTGTCTGTCTGTCTGTCTGTCTGTCTGTCTGTCTGTCTGCCTGCCTGCCTGCCTGCCTGCCTGCCTGCCTGCCTGCCTGCCTGCCTGCCTGTCTGTCTGTCTGTCTGTCTGCTGGATATATACAGGGCTTGACATTAACACCTGCTAAATATGATAGATTGTAGCTGTGGCAGGTTAGAAAGTCATTCTTGTGGTTTGGATACCGTTTTTAAATGGTAGTCTTCTGAAAAGTAGGGCTTTATGATAAGTATGGCCCGTGTGAGATAGGCTTGGGTAGTAAATAAGATTGTCAGTGGCCTGAATGGAAAACAGAACGAGTAAAAAATAAATGTGATATGATGCAAGTGTTAAAAAAAAAAAAACTTGCAACCTCCACTCACGCAACGCAACCAGCATAACTTGTGCGTTTGATTATCATTGTAATAGACTTGACAAAATTCAATCCTTGTGCGATTCTTGCACTCCTATGCAGCTAACTTTATCTTTATATTGTTTAAATATCTTACTTTACGATGAAAACGCTTTAATAAGAGATTAAATCTCCTTATACAGTTGAAGTCAGAATTATTAGCCCCCCTTAGTTTTATTTCGGCAAGAATAAAAGCAGTTTTTAATTATTTATTGAACCATTTTAAGGTCAATATTATTAGCCCCTTTAAGCTTTATATTTTTATTTGATAGTCTACAGAACAAACCATCATTATACAATAACTTGCCTAATGACCCTAACCTGCCTAGTTAACCTAATTACCCTAGTTAAGCCTTTAAATGTGACTTTAAGCTGTATAGAAGTGTCTTGAAGAATATCTAGTCTAATAATATTTACTGTCATCATGACAAAAACAAAATAAATCAGTTATTAGAGATGACTTATGAAAACTAATATGATTAGAAATGTGATGAAGAAATCTGCTCTCTGTTAAACAGAAATTGGGGAAAAAAATAAATAAGGGGGCTAATAATTCTGAATTCAACTGCATGTATGGTGTAAGTATGCATGTATGGTAAACTGGTGTTTATATGTCCTTTAAGCTGGACAGAAGTGAGCATAACACGTCTGTCAAATGCACAATGCAAAGGAAAAACACATTCTGCGTGAACTGTCCCTTAAAGTGCACTAGGACTGCCATGGGTGGACGAATGTTACCTACCTTTCATTATTTTCAATTTTACAACCATTCTGTACCTCTTTCTCAGAAAATTGTCCTGCTGTCTGTGTTTTGCGTTTTATTTTCTCAGCGAGATCTTCAGCCTCAAAGTAGTCCAGTACTAGATATATACAGTCACCATCTAAAGAGGATTCATCCATTACTGTATTTTACATCATTAACACAATCAAACTGTGTGCAAATGTCTACAGCCTACAGTCTACAGACCTAAAACATATTAAAATAGTATGAATGTTTTGGTACCTCTGATGATCTCCTTGTGATGGATGATGTGTGGATGATTGAGATGCAGCAGAAAGTTCACATCCCTTTCCTGAACACAGACAGACATGCAGTATATCACAGTTTATCTCTCTACAATAAAAGTCAACTTCTGGATATTGTTACAAACTCCATGTGCAGTTTGGAAATTCATCCCTCACCTGTCCAGCTCTGAGCTTTTTAACTGCAAACTGATCACCACTTTCATTTTTCGCCAGGATCTTCTCATCGTTACTCTTTACTAATGTGTAGCCGGGGTTTGAGGTTGACTTTTTGTTGCCCATGTCAGAGTGCTTCTGTCAGGTAAAGTTGGAGAGAAGTTTATATGTGTGTGTATTTGGTACATATGCGTGTTCATCCCACATTAAAAAATAGTATCGTAATTAAAGGTAAACACATAAGGGCCTACTGTATCACACATCTGTCATAGTGTTGCGTCAGGCAGGACACAAGTGTGTTTTTAAATGTTTAGCCAACAGAACTATCCCTTTCACATTGCAAATGCATTTTCTGCCATTTATGCACCATAGGTGTGAAATAAAGTGTGTTAAGGCACATTGTTGGCATGTTAGTATTTTGAGGCAAATGAAATAGACCACACCATTGATTGAAAGCTTCTCTAAAGAGAATATTTTTTATTATATATATATATATATATTACACACACAGGGATGCACGGCAGCACACACATATCTTAAAAATTATTATTCTTTTTTCAAATATACTGTAAAAGATGAGTATTTTTCTCATTAAAAAAATTAATTGACCTTCTCCTAATCCTCACAGGGCTTTGGTGAGTACGGTTCTGATGTAGCCAGTTTGTTTATTTAATATCACAACCCTAGATTGCAGTACCAATTTTATGAGACTAGAGGACACTGCTTACAGACTTTTTACTGATTTTTTTATTTTTATTTTTTTGGTTGCACTCCCAAGTCCCATGTTCCTTTGATTGTATATTGATTTCAGCTATTTGTTGTTATTCTATTTAGTTTTGCGTATTTAAGTGTGCTTTCACACTTGGTTCATTTGCCTGGACCGTACCCAAGTTTGATTGCCTCCCCTTGCCACCTCCTCGGTTGGTTTGTGTTCACACTGTCTGTTTTCTTTCTGAACCCCGGTATGCTTGTGTCATCGAGCTGCTGTTTTGTTTAAGGGCGTTGCTAGGTGACAGTCATGAAAGCAAGCGCAGAAATGGAAAGACATCCGCACATCACGGTCATTCTGCTTTTACTGAAGCTTTTGGTTTTAGACATACAGAAAGGGACTCGCGTCCATCTGCCGCCAAAATATTGTAAACATTCAGTACATCACACTGTGTCTGCAGAAGCTGTTTTTGGAGGAAAAAAGCAGACATCACTGAGTATCACTGTGTTTGCCGTGGCTTAGTCCTGCGCATGTCACCAAGATACGAAACGTGACACAGACACACCGGCCTGTTCTCATGAGAAAACTTAAGTATTTTACGTTTTGCCAGTTTAATGGCTAATTTGGACAAGTTCAGTCGTACAAAATTGTACAATTTAAAAAAGGAGGCGTAGCACCCAACCCCACCCCTAAACCCAACCCTCATTGGGGATGAGCAAATCGTACTAAATTGTACAAATTAGATCATACGAATTCATGGGAATTAGCCACTAAATCAAAAAGTTATGATTTGCTGTGAGATTGTGTTGTCACATGAACGAACCAATGTTATGAAAATGATAGTTTGTTTTACAGTTGGTGATTCACTTCTGTTATTTTGTATGATTGCATTCACATCAGAAGTGTACCGTAACAGAGTTCACATGAACCAGACCCCAGACCATCTCTTTCAGGAGGACTCTGCTACGGTTCGTGGGTGCGCACCCGAGTTCAGAAGACACATTAACACTAGCTAAACGTACCATACTATGACATCAAACGAACCTTGGTCCAGACCAAAAGTGCTAGTGTAAAAGTACCCTAAGTCTGTTTCATTTGCCTTTGTGTTGCTTCTCTATTATGTCACTCCTGCCTCTCTTTTTTTGTTTCATGCCAGCTCAAGTATTTTTCGAGTTTTGCTTTGTGTTTTTTTGAGAAACAAAAAACAAATTACGTCTTGTTTGTTTTCACCTGGATTACTAATTTAAGTTTTATAAAGGCTGCAATTGGTTCCTTTAGTAATTACTCGACCTGTTCTACAACAGTTTATTTATGCTGATTTACATGTATTTATAGTTGTTGTATCCGCTGTGTAAAATACATGTTTGACTAAAATACATGTGGTGATCCCTGATAATCATGGACTAAGCTGAAGAAAATGGATCAATGAATGATGTTGTTGTTGTTATTATTGGTATTCATCTGTCAGGTTTTAGAGATGACGTAGGTATTTGGAATGTGTTTGGGTATTGGGCATGATGGTATTTATTTTATTTGGTATTAATTTGGAAATTAGAACTGAATTGAAAATGGTTTTGAAACAATGTTGATGATATCAATAAATTAAATATGGAATGCATGTCTTGAGGGCATAACGTCCAAAACAAACATCGCTTCCCAAATCTACATCTTAATGGAAGAGGCCAATAGCCCAGGCTCATTCTGTAGATGGTGTTTAAAGTTGTGCATCCATTTTCTCACTAGTGATGCATTCACTTTTTCCACTTATGGTCCACCATGTAAATAGCCAATCCACCATAGTGCAACCATAACTTGCTTTTAAAAGGAAGATGATCATGAAACTCTGATTGATTTAATGCGGGTTATGCAAAAAACAGACCTGTGAGGAGAATAAGGACATCCCTTACAGACAATACACCAGGAGCCCTGACCATTTTCCCCATCCTTACGATGGCAAATGTAGACCTTGTAGACTGTAGACCATGTGATTGGATTGTTAAAATAGAGCCCATAATGTTTTTGAACCATAGAAAAGAAAGTTGTTATTATTAATATTATTATTTTTTTTTTATAGGACTTTAGAAAATTAGAGAAAACAGGATTCTGGATTCAACAGGATTCTGTAGGGGTTTATTAGACAGCAATACACCACAGTTTACTATAGTAAAAACTAAGGTCACACTTTATTTTGATGGTCCGTTTGTTGAATTTAAGTTACATTGCAACTAATTCTCATTAGATTATAAGTAGACTGTGAGGTTTAGGGTTAGTTGACATGTACTTGTAAAGTGTCTTATAGTCAGTTAAATGTCTGTTGAAGGAGCAGAATCAGCAGACATTAAGCAAACAGTCAACTAATACTCAAATGGACCATCAAAATCAAGTGTTACCAAAACTAGTACACTAGGTAGTGTACTGGGTAAAGTATACTACAGTGTTTTAGGTTCACTGGTTAATACTACAGTATGCTACAGCATTCATTAACACAGTGTTAATGTAAATATTCTAATAGATTTTCAGTATACTACAATTTGCCATAGTATAGTTCAAAACACTTATTACTATAAAAAACTGTAGTATTTCTTTCACATGGGGTACATGAAGTCATTTTTTTTTTTTACTATTTATTAATCTCACCATGTGGAAGACAAATGCAATGAAAAGCTTTATTCACCTGAGAAACGTCTGATCATTCCTCTTCACAGGAGACGTGTGAGATGTTTTATTCATTTGATGTTTTCACATGAAGCACATGCCTGTAAGAGTCAGAGAGTTTGGCTCATATTAAAGTTCATTTTCAGAATTAATAACTGCCTTTAATTTACATATCACTGTCAAATGTTGACTCTGGATTGAAATATAGAAGTCATGTAAACATTCAAATGAAAATGAAACTGAATTTAGTGACTGACTTTGTTGCTGTCACCTAAATTCACCTTCACACAACACTCAGAAAGATTTGTGTTTATTCAGAAGAAGTGTTTATCTATGTAGCTCAGTTTGTTCAGTAAGTGTTGTTGGAGAGGAAAGAAAATGGCTATGCTTTATTTATAATCAGCAAATAATCCTGGGTGTTGGTCAGGACTTACAGAATGAGGAGACTGGGGCTTTTTCCAAAGTGTATTGGATATTAATTTAAAAAAATATATCGCATTTAACAACATTAGGATAAATAACTATATTAAATATGCACATGTACACAAAATAACCAGTCACTGGATATTTAGAAATGCTAACATTATCTCTAGAGTGAAAAATGCTCTATTTGAAAAATACACAAATGAAAATCATCCATCTGTTACTCATGCCACATTCAAAACTGCTTATACCACAGCCTGTAACCTTAAAAAACAAGCAAAAAACAAAAGTATTATCAATCGGAATCTAAATTATGGAATGCATGTAATAAAAACACAAACAATTTTAAATATAGAAATATAAGTTATAGCTGTAAAAATAAGACCACATGAAAACATGTAAAACTTTAGATATGAAGAATATAGCTGTAGAAAATATAACAAGGTATGACAAATATTTTCATAGAAGTGTGTAACAATCTACATTGTAAAAGCTGAATTGAATTGAATTAAAGTGTGTGTGATGAAGTCCTTGGTGCATAAAGAAAGGAAAGAGTGTATCCTACAGGTGTTTTGTCAAGCCCACTGACCTGCACTGAGTAAACTCGGAACTACACAATATAAAACCAGGATGTGTGTGTTTGCCCTACATAAACATGACCTGGATCACAGTGAGTCAGAAGATAACTTTTTCTATGTTGACAATAGTCAGATTGCAGGATCTGCAATGTCGAATCAGAATTATAGTTGAGCAAGTCTTAAAAACACATCTGATTGTGACGTAATTCCAATGTTTAGCAATAAAGCTACCAAACAAATGCATAATTTGCTTGTGTTTTAAAGCCTGTGACTGTGCATGCATTTCAAGCCAGTTTAAAGTTTAGTAATTTAAGGAAGATTATTCATTCATTCATTTTCTTTTCGGCTTATTCCCTTCATTATTCTGGGGTTGCCACAGCGGAATGAACCACCAACTTATCCAGCATATGTTTTACACAGTGGATGCCTTTCCAGCTGCAACCCTTCACTGGGAAACATCCATACACACTAATTCACACTCATACACTACAGACAATTTAGCCTACTCAATTCACCTGTACCGCATATCTTTGGCCTGTGGGGGAAACCAGAGCACCCGGAGGAAACCCACACGAACACGAAGAGAACATGCAAACTCCATACAGAAATGCCAACTGACCCAGCTGAGGCTCGAACCAGGGTCCTTCTTGCTGTGGGGTGAGGGCACTACTGCGCCACTGCATCGCCAATAATTTTTCAGACAAAAAACAATTGTTCAGGCATGCTCTCAGTCTCTCCATCTTAATCGCGGCATGAATGTTTATTAAGCAAAACTCAGACGGTTTAGTTTAGTCTGCTTTAAACCTGCAGGAAAACATCAGGCTTTGCTAAAAAGCGAGTTATTTTACCAACAATTAGGGTCAGTAGTGATAGCCTATTACAGATTTCAAAGAAAAATCTTATTAAAAAGGAAACATAAGCTGGAACACAACAGATCATTAATGAAGCCTAGTTTACAGCAAGCATCATGTTTAGTTAGATTGTGCCTATTGTCACATACCATAGGCCATTAGGTGTGTTATGTTTACTAAACTGTATTATGTAAAAAAAAACTGTAAAAAAAATAATATAATAAAAAAAAACTACTTAGTATCAGGATCGGATCTGTATTGGTCGATAGTCAGAATTTTGGCACCCGATCGGTTGCAAAAAAAATGGTATCGTGCATCCCTAATATGTACTATACCCTCGCTAGCCAGTATAACTCTGTTGGCTATATTTTGCCTTTCACAATCATACAGAGGTTATGAGACCAGAAAAGCTTTTGAAAGTAAAATGAATTATCTGTAATACAATTTTTACAACTGTAGAAAAGATCTGGATCTCCCATCCAGCGTAAGGCAGATCTCTGTTTTCTATGATGCTTCTGAGTAGGCTGAAAATGCTGAAGATAAAGTGGAAGTAACTTTTCATATTGGCTAGATTCAGGGTAGCATTCAAAAAGCAACAAAAAACATCCCACAGCTGGGGTTGTGCAGAGCATTTACTGTACAGGGGCACAGCTCCAGAGCTGTCTTTGCTCATTCACAGCATCACGATGGTCTGACTCAACAATTTCATGTGTGCACTTACTGTAAAAGTGTGCTACGCCAATCTTTGTCCAACTGAACTATTGCAATTCACGTCCAGCCTTCACTAACATCACAGCGCAATAATTGACACAAAAGTCAGCGTAAAAACTAGCATTTAGCAAAGACAGCACATCACACGTGTGTTCGTTCATTTACACTGACCTTAATTACTGCTCACATCACACAAGACACTGACACTGAAACAGCCACTGGCTAATGATCATTCTACTTATGCTTCTTAAAGAGTAAGGAATTAAACACTTGAATTTATATTTGTAAATAGCTCTATTTGCAAATCATTTTTAAATAAAAGTCACTGCTAAATGAATAAATTTTAAATCAGGCCTTTATTTGTCACATACAATTTCGTAAAGTAAAATTGAACAAAGAAAACATAAACCTATTGTATAACACACCATTAGACTATGAGGAGGTTCAGATTGAAGAACCGTCAGAGCTGATTAGAAAAAAAAACTAAAAAAAACTATAAATCTTTTTAATATTAAAAATGAATATTGAGTAATTAATGGTATTAACAAATAGATGTATGGCTACAAACAGTTTTGGCATTTCACATTAGAAAAATCTATTAAAAATACAAAATTAATTATTAAATAAAAAGAGTTTGTTAGTCCAGATTCATTTTGAAAACACTGTCAAATTTCTGCCAGGTTCATTTATTTTATTTATTTTTTTCTTTGTGAATTCCTTTCTTTTTTAATAATTTAACACTGCCCAATCACAAACTACCTCATACACAGTAATTTCAAATAAGCACATAAACATAATCACATAAACTGATTTATCAATACACGTTGTAAAACAGAACAGTCTGACTTACTAAGGTAAAAATTAAATGCTATTATTGATGGGTTTCTGCCTCAGCAGACCAGTCAAACAGTTTTGTGGAGACGTGTCAATAATATCTGAGACAATAACAGATTCTAATATTGGCCATCAGCAACAGTGAGCGTCAAATGAAAGTCTAATAATTCACATTTTTCTTCTGCAAACTTTTGTTGAGCACTAATGTTCATTTGTATACTTTTTTGTAGGTTTAGCAAAGGCTTTGATCTGCGTTTAGCATTAAGCAGAAACAGTGATTCGACACACTATAATAAACCACATCAAAGCAACAAACACATTACAATCAATATATTGTTGCTCCTTATGCAAGCTAATTATTTTAAATGAGCTGAAAACAGTTCTTTAGGTTTTTTTAATAGGCAACTTAATGGTTTTTGTTTAGTCAACTTAAAATTGTTCACCATTAAGTTAACTTAATTAATTTGTTTGGAAACTAGATTAAGGGATTGTGTGGAATGCAGCATTTTTTACAGTGTAGACTAAAACAATGTAAATGTAGAATTGAAGTGTAGTTAAAGTATATATTTTTCCCCAGTGAGTTTGGTTTCAGTTTCACTTATGCTGGCATATTCAGATACAACTTTCTACAACTTGCTGTAAACTGTACAGATGTACATTAGTATCTCATTAACATGGACCCACCTTATAGTCTTGATTGAGGGTCTTGATGGTTTTACATCTTGATGTGATGAAGTTTGAAGTCCCATAAGCAATATGATCCACACACTGAAACAGAGAAACTATGAGTTTTACAGCAACACAACAGACATTACAACGAACTTAGCAGGAACAGAAACAGGTGATTTGATTCAGTTTTAAAGCATTTGCTGATCTCCAAATAAAAGATAAAGAGCTCTAACTCATTTAAAACTAGCTGACAGCTCACTTTCAGTAACTCGATATATTCCTCCACCTCATTCCTCCTGTCTTTGTCCTTCTCCAGAACAGGTTAGACAGGAATTGCTGTGTGCAAAGTGCGTCTATGTAAAAAAAGAGGTGTACTTGACACACACTTAACCATTCACTCACGTTCACTCGATCCCTTACTGTTTTTCAAAATGTTTACAGTTTATTTAACTATAGCTCATCTCAATACTTCACACACAAATCCATAAAATTTAAACATATTAAGTAGCAATTCAACATTCAAACATTAAATAATTATACTTTTATACACCAAACTAAATGTGAGAAATGTGAAACCCTGCTCTGGTGTGTCTGTCACGGTTTTTGGGTCTGTGTGTTCTTTCTGTATGATGTATGTCATGCTGCGTGTGTGAGGGTGGGTGTGTCTGTTTACCTTTTGCTCTGGCAGCATTAGCATGGATCAGCTGACCTATTTAGTGTGCTCCTGTTAATGCCTGTTTTGCTGGGTATATATGTTTATATAAATATATATATATATATATATATGTGTGTGTGTGTGTGTGTGTGTGTGTGTGTGTGTATGTGTGTTTCCTTATTTAACCAGATAAAAACCCTTCGAGATCAAGATCTCATTTACAGGGGTGACCTGGCCAAGAGGTCCACGCTGGTTTTAGCTGGTTGACCAGGCTGGTTTTAGAGGGGTTTTGGTCATTTCTAGGCTGGTTTCCAGCCATTTCCAGCCTGGTCTTAGCTGGTCAGGCTGGAAAATGACCAGCTAAATCTAGCTAAGACCAGCCTGGTTTAAGATGAACATAGCTGGTTTTGGCTGGGTTCCCAGCCTGGCTAGGCTGGTGAAGTTGGTTTTAGCTGGTCATTTTCCAGCCTGACCAGCTAAGACCAGGCTGGAAATGGCTGGAAACCAGCCTGGAAATGGACAAAAACCCTGTAAAACCAGCCTGGTCGACCAGCTAAAACCAGCCAGCCAGCCTAGGCTGGTTTAAGCTGTTTTTTTTCAGTAGGGAGTACATTGTTGTTTCTCATTCCTGTCTGTTTGTTTAGGTTTGGGCAGTTAGGACGATTGTAAGGGCCCACACATTTAGGGGGTCCCCAGAGACATTCTCCCCAGAATGTTAAGTTTTGTGCTACGGTTACGCCATCCGTCCACACTACGTCAGAGTTTTGATATTAGCAACTTAACAGACAGCAGAATTGTTGAGGCATTGAACTGCATATACGAGCGTCATCTTCACTGTGTGGATATTTATAAAATAACGGAGCCGATAACAACTGCCTCCTTTCATTTTCAGTGAAAATACAAAACACACCCCCTCTTCTGCTGAATATGAGTTTTAATAATCGATAATGGCCATTATAAAAGTATAACTTACAATAAGTTTATACATTATAGGAGATAAAGGCAAGCAATCAGTCAACATACAGAATGTACATGGTTCCATTAATTATTAACTCAGCCAAAACACGTCGCCTGTGAACAAGTAATAGATTCAAAAAACCAAAGTCGGGGAATATGTTGTTAGATAAAGACAACAAGATGAATGAAATATCACGTTTAACAAATATAGTGAGATTAGATTCAGCGGGAGATGCTTAATGAGAAGTCCGACCAGCACATCTCTCATCTGGGTACATGGTCTGCAGCGCTTTCCCGAGTGTGTGTGTGGTCACATGATGTGCGTTTTCAGCGTTTTGGTGTGGACGGAGAGCAGTTCAGAAACTCTGGGTGAAACGCTAGTGTGGACGCGAATCGTTTTCATTCTAAAACGTCGTTTTAAAACTAAAACGCACTAGTGTAAACGGGGCCTCAATTTTTTCCCCTAGTAAATATTGCAGTTGTGTTTTGTTGTCTGACTCAGTGAATTGTGGGTAAATGCTCTGTAGTTTGGGGTAGAAAGTTTCTCTGATGTTCTGATAGTTTGTGCAGCGGGTGAGGAAGTGTTCCTCCGTCTCCACCTCTGCCTGGGCACAGTGTGGGCAGATGCGTCTCTCTCTGGGTTGCCAGTTCTGTCTGTATCGGCCCGTCTCTACAGTCAGACTGTGAGCACTCAGCCTTTATTTGCTCATTGTTGTTCTTAATTTTGTCTTTTACTGCACTCAGATATATTGCTATGGTATAATCTCTATTTAGGTCTAAGTAATATTGAAGTTTACTTAGTTTTCTGGCTGCTTCATTCCAGTAAATCAGATACTCTTCTTCCCGTGCATTTATTATCTGATTGGGCTTATTTCTGGGGATGAGCATGTCCGTGTCCAGATGCTGCCTGCTGTTAGTCATGTTTGCTATATTGGTTTGCAGCTTCAGGACCATCTGAATCTAGTTTGAGACTTTGTTCATTGTTGATGTTTTTTATTCCAACAGGAAAAAATCTAAAATCTCTTAATTATTTAAATTCTTCATATTTTCTTTCTGGTAATTATCCGGTTTCTTAATGACGTCATCATACTGGAAGAGATCATTTCAGTGGGAATTATCAATGGCAAAATATCTAAAGAAAACCAACTGGTAGTATGTTCTGTCTTCATGTTTGAGTGTCATTAAGATTTTTCCACTATGTGGAGCTCTTTCTCTCTCTCTCTCACACACACACACACACACACACACACACACACACACACACACACACATTGAGACAAAATAACACAGACCACAGTTTCACTGAAATTATATATTAGTTTTTTTGTTTCTGCACAATCAAAATCCTCAATAGAATTTAAATGTTACATGCTGCAATGGGTTAATATACAGTAAATATACAGTATGATGATCAATGATTGTGTTACTACAGTAAAGCTGTGATACATAAAATGACAGAAGAAACCTGCTGAACAGAAACTGTGATCATACATGAACATTTAACATAAAATTAAAGAAATAAAATTTCGAAAATATTCATTAAAACTACAGGACCTATAACTGTTGTCTTCAAAACAGTCAAGCTTCTTTAGGATAGTATGCTAACCTGCATTAATTTAGTACATTTCCAAATGTTATGCTACAGTTGATCCTTTTATTATTATTACTGACATAGAGAGAGAGCGGCACCCATGATGGTTAGCATTGTTGACTCACAGCAAGAAGGTCACTGGTTCAAGTCCCGGCTGGGTCAGTTGGTGTTTCTGTGTGGAGTTTGCATGTTCTTGTTGCTGTGGGTTTCCTCTGGGCGCTCCGGTTTCCCCCACAGTTCAAACACATGTACTATAGAGAAATTGATTAACTGAATTGGCCGTAGTTTATGACTGTGTGTGTGAGAATATGAGGGTGTATGGATGTTTCCCAGTACTGGATTGCAGTTGGAAGGGCATCTGCTGTATAAAGAATGATTGGTGGTTCATTCTGCTGTGGTAACCCCTAGTAAATAAGCGACTAAGCTAATGGCTGAATAAATGACCTAGAGCAGGGGTGTCCATACTTGGTTTTAGGGGGCCTGTGTCCTGCAAAGTTTAGTTCCAACCCCAATCAGACACACCTGAACCAGCTAATCAAGCTCTTGCTAGGCTTTCTATAAAAAGTTCCTGCAGGTGTGTTGAAGCAAATCTGCAGGATACCGGCCCTTCAGGGACGAGTTTGCACACCTTTGACCTAGAGAGTCTAGACCAGTGCTTTACAACCTTTAGTCTGCTGCTTCTAAAAACCCAAACTTCGTCTAGTCTGGACACTCTCTGGCTGCTTCTTGATTGTTCCGCTGATGGTCTACTAATTTATGGCCTCTTCCCAGTATTGGTTTTCCTTTTTTTCCAGAATCTCTCTGGGTTTGTTGATCTGTTGTGTTCATTTTATATTTATTCAAATCATTGGCTGTGTATTCAGTTAAAATGTTTAGACTAAGTAAGTTATTAACCTGCCACAAATAGTGGGTACCTAAAAAACATTTTCAGAGGGGTCACGGAAATGTATTTGGTTTAGGCGGCTGATAGTTATCAAATGAGTAGACAATTGCTATTAATCCACTCACGGGTGTGGAAAGAAACATCCTATCACGCAGGTGCAGAATAAGCTCTCTCTTTCAGTTGGCTTCCATCTGTTTTGTGGGTTTATGGACAGCTGTTTGGTCCAGATGAGGCCAATGTGAAGTGACAACTAGGGTTGGGTACCGAAACCCGTACCTTTAGAACCAGTATCCACCAGATCAAATCAGCATATGAATTTCGGTGCTTTATTTCGGTGCTGCAACAAGAATGTAAAGCAGGTGGCGCACCAGAAGTGCCACTCGGTGACATGCAGCGCCATGCATTTCAGAATTCACAAGTCAGCGGCTCTCCGCAGCGCCCAGCCATAACTCATGACTGTTCATATTCCTGCCATGCCACAGAACGACATTTGAATAGTTTCATTTTAAATAGCATGCGAATGTGCACGTCTGGTGTGTGATACCATCATGCGCGCGCCGTGCCGCGGCTCTGAGTGGCGCATCCGCTGTGTGACGCCCTTAATAAGCATAAAGGGGTGCATCAAAGGCACACATATGTACGTGTTGTGTCACACTATCTCTAAATGTTTAATTCTAAACAGCTTTGAGGGATACTGATGTCAGCGTTGTCAGGCGTTTGTTATTATAGCTTATAGAAGCAACAAAGCGCACAGTTCCCTGAATTTGATGACAGCCTTTCCACAGGTTAGTATTAAGCTAATGTAATGTTAATAGCATAATGTAAATCTTGCATTTATGCTAACAAACATAACAAGATCAAAAAAAATTATTATTCATTCATTCATTTTTTTTTTTTTTGTCAGTTAAGTCCCTTTATTAATCAGGGGTCGCCACAGCGGAATGAATCGCCAACTTTTGCAGCAAGTTTTTTTACGCAGCGGATGCCCTTCCAGCCGCAACCCATCTATGGGAAACATCCCATACACTCATTCACACACACTCATACACAACAGACTATTTAGCCTACCCAATTCACCTGTACCGCATGTCTTTGGACTGTGGGGGAAACCGGAGCACCCAGAGGAAACCCATGCGAAAGCAGGGAGAACATGCAAACTCCACACAG